GCACACAATGTATTCCTCCGGTATCCGTGAGTTGCATAATCTTATAGTCGAAGGAATGTGTATTTGACATTAAGAAAGCAATAGCAATAAAACTGGACGATCATTATTCTAAGCTAATGGATGGGTCTTGTCCATCACATAATTCTCCTAATGATGTGATCCCGTTATCAAATGACAACACATGTCTATGGTTAGGAAACCTTAATCATCTTTGATCAACGAGCTAGTCTAGTAGAGGCTTACTAGGGACATGGTATTTATTTATGTATTCACACATGTATTTAAGTTTCCGATCAATACAATTCTAGCATGAATAATAAACCTTTATCCTGAATAAGAAAATATAAAATAACAACTTCATTATATCCTCTAGAGCATATTTCCTTCAGGGAGTGCGTCGTAGGGGTGGTTGAGTGGCACTTGGCTTTTTCTGTTGGGCCTAGTACCGCACTCGGCCTCGTGGGTGGGGAGGTACATTTAGTATTTTTTTTCTATCGTGCACACTAGTGCCAAATATATTGTCCTATAAAAAAGTTAAAACAAGCAGTTGAAGATTTTAATCAAGTATTTGAAAACTATTAATCAAGCATTTGATAAAATGTTAAATGTGTACAGAAAAAATATTTGTCGTGTATATGAAAAATATGTAAAACAAATACAATGTGTATAAAAAATATTGATCATGTTTTTTAAAATTCAACGTGTAAAAAGTTTGTTGTATATAAAATGTACATTGTGTGTGAAAAAATCTTTATTGCCATTATAAAATTCCCCATTTATTGAAAATTTCTTACCATGTATTAAAAAATGTTAAACTTTTATTTGAAAAAATATAAATGTGTATATAAAAATTAAATAAATATATACTGAAAATGTACAATGTGTATGGAAAATATTAGACATGAAAACAATAATTTTCAAAAAGTTATTCATGTATTTTCAAAATGTTAAACATGTATATAAAATATGTTTCAAATGTATACAAAAAATATCGAATGTCTACCAAAAAGTGGACATGTGTTGAACAAAAAACAAGCCGAGGAAAATCGACAAAGAAACAAATAAAAACAAATAAACCCAATAAAAACAAAGTTAACCAAAAAATAAAATAAAACAGTATAAAACCAATGGAAAAGAATGGAATGGTGAAAACAAAGAAACAAAACAAAAAACATAGAAAGGAAGAAAACAAACAAAACAAACCAAGGAAAACTAAGGGAAAAGGAAAAGAAAAGAAAAAATGAAAATAGAAAAGAAACAAAGAAAACAAAGAAAAAGAAATAAGGAATAACAAATGAAAATAGAAAAAAAATACCAAACCATAGAAAAAGGATGGAAAAGAAACAAAACCAATAAAATCTAGGAATAAAACAAAGAATACCGGCGGAAAAGCAAAGGGAAAAGCAAAAAAATGAAGAAACCCGTGAAGAAAAAAATAGAAGGAACAAATGAAAAGAAGCAGAAAAGCATAGCAAAATGTATCGAATGCTACCAGTGAGCGAGCGAGCGCTAAGAAACGGACTGGCCCAGTAATGGACACAACACGGAAAAACCTTCGGGCGAGACAAAAGATAGCCACACTATAAACGAGATGTGGATCTCACGGTCTTTGACCGAATTGGGGAGGTCGCGTAAAAGCTATATGTCGGTAATTGCGAGATAGTGCTAGCCCTTCCTTCTAGCGCGACGCGGCCTCGGCCAGGCCCAGTAGCGGCGACCTTGTTGTTTTTCGGCTTTTTTCATGGAGCGTTTTCCGTCGTTTTCGTGTGGTTCTTATTATGTGATTTGTGTCTGGTTTCCTCACTTTTTCTTCATTTCTTCTTTTCCTATCTTGTTTATTTATTTTTGTGCTTCCTTTTCCTTTTTTTCATGTTTATTTCTTCGTCTTCTCCTCTTTTTTCCTTTTTATTTTTATTTTTAATTTTTTTTTTCTATTTATTCATGTTTTCTATTTTTTCCATGTTTTTAGTTGTTTAGCTCTTATTTTTTCACCATGTATTTAAAATGTTCATGACATATTTAAATACTATTTTTTGTATTAGAAATATTTATAATGTATGAAAATGTTTTTCATAGGGGTATTTTAAAAAAACATTTGTGTATTGAAAAATGTTTCATTATGTACTACAATATTTGATGTGTATTAAAAATGTTGGTCAAACATTTAGAAAATGTTAACCACACATTTAGAAAATATTGATCATGTATTTTAAAAATATATACCATGTAAAAAATGATCATAATTTATTTAAAAAACGTTCATCATACAGTATAATTCATAAAATATTAATCATGGATCTAAACTGTTCACGGTGTGTTTTGTAATATTGATTGTGTTTTTCAATGTTGTCATATTTTCTAAAATGTTTGTTATGTATCTTTGGAAATATTTTTTCTTTTTTTGGTCTTTGTTTTATATTTTATTTTGTTTCCTAAGTTTTTCCTTTGCCTTGGTATTATCCTTAAATTGAAAAAAATACAATGAAAAGAATGCACACAATTTTGCACTAAAATATCACTTTTGTAATATGCAGAGTATAAACATATGATAGTGTAATTTTCACACTAGTATAATTCACACGATGGATGGTGATGCATGCCCTCTATACCATGGACGGTGATGCATGCCTACAACCGCTCGGTGTGTCAGTGTGTGAGTAAGTGGTCCGTGGTATAAATAAAGCACAGCCTACTCAATAAATACACGATTGTAGTCTCTCAAGCTTTTGCACATCCTGCTGAAGAGCATAACTGAGAACGACTGGTGATCAAGAAATGTGTAACATATGACGAAATGGGCGTGCTTTCAGACTTAAAAAAATGTTAGGCCGGTTTTCCTACGCTAACGTAAGAAAAGCGCAGGACATCATGAGGCAGAGAACTAGCCGGCCAATGCATCGAGACCATAAACATAAAGTGCGCGGGAGGTAAGCATATGCATGTCTCCATCCATCTCATCCGAACCACTACGCTTAACCTAACCAGGCGCAAGGCCAATCCGATTACAGAGCCTGCTCCAGCTGCTCCGGCCTGAGCTGCAGTATCGCTCATTCGACGCTGACATGGGGCTCGCAGGCGGCTGGTGCCCACGTCAATCCGGCGGCCGGTCGTGGTACCGGATGTGGTATTTTAGTCGGGATTACAGCAGCAACGCAACTGCTTCAACCGGCTCTTTCCATTTGTAATCCATGCAGGAGCAAAGGTCCAACTCTCCCTTCGGCCGACCGTGCCCGGCGCCCTGTCGGCCTGCCATCGTGTCCTTCCGTTTGGCCGAGCGTGCCCGGGCTGTGGTGCTGTCATTTTCGCCATGGCCGACACCAACAGGGAAGACACGACAAGGTGCCAAGTAAATAATCCTTCCTGGAAACGAAACAGGGTTTGCACGCCTATAAAACAACTCTTTGCTCGGCGTCTGGAGCTTGGAGAGTGTTGCTCGATCGACCTCCGGCCGCTCCCGCTTGTTGTAGTCGACGCACCGGCGGGAGGCCAGGAAAATGCCGACGACCACCGTGGAGGACCTGCCCGCCGACGTGCTGGCCTGCGCTCTGCGCCGCCTCGACGGCCCGTCCCTGGCCGCCGCGAGCTGCGCCACGGCAGGCCTCCGCGCCCTCGCCGCGGACCCGGAGACGTGGCGCGCGCTCTGCCTCGCGCGGTGGCCGTCGCTGGGCCTGGAGACCGAGCGGCAACACAACGTCCTCGGCTCTCCGGCCGTCTCCCCGCAACGCCTCTTCGCCGACGCCTTCCCCTTCCCGTCCACTTCCAGTCCAAGGGATGCCGCCGCAGCCGACCAATGCCTCCCCGGCGAGCTGATCTCCGCCGTGGACATCTACCAGAATGGCTCGCCCCGGCCGCTCTTCTCACGGGTCATGGAGACCTCCACGTCGTCCTCGTGGTTCCTGGCCTCGCCCTTCCGCGTGGACGCCGTGGAGTGCAAGGACCCGGTACGGATGGCCTCGGCCTCGTTCTCTCCGGCGGAGCTGGAGCTGAGCTGGATCGTGGTCGACCCCCGGAGCGGCCGGGCGGTGAACGTGTCGAGCCGGCGGGCGGTGGCCGTCGACAGGCACTGGTACACGGGCGAGACGCTGGTGCGGTACGCGGTGGTGCTGGGCGGGAGCAAGTTCGAGGCCACGATCACCTGCTCGGAGGAGGCCGGGTGCCTTAACCTCAGGGAGGTCAGCCTGACCGTCGAGGACGCCGACGGCGCGGCGGTGAGCGGCGAAGGCAGCCTGCGGCTCCTTGCGGCCGCGATGGATGGACCGAGGAGCAAAGCAGGGGAGAGGGAAAGAGAAGAGGCCAAGAGGAGGTACGAGGAGTTCGTGAGGAGCAAGAGGGGGCGGAAGGAGTCCAAGGCGAGGCGGGAGGTGCTCGTCGACCTGTGCTGCTCCGCCGTCAGCGCCGTCGCCGTGCTCGGCTTCATCGCCTCCGTCGTGCTCCGGTAGAGTCAGGGACCGGATATCTGTGTACCTCGTGAAACATGTACAACAGTTTTTCCACTGAAGCGGGCAATCCTATTTGTACACTGTTAGACCTGAAAATTCAGGCAGCACAGTGCTCACAATTAAACCACGGTGGTCTACTGCGACTATTGGTGACAAATCCCACATTGGCATATGTGTCCCTCCGGGCTTGTTCGGTTTGGTGGGCTTTCAATCCCCTACATCCCACCGGCACTCACTGCTGGTGCTAAGCTGACGCCCCCAAAAAAAAAACTGACGCTCACCAGAATCATACCACTGATATATTTCACTGGATATATGGTACTCCCTCCGTCCCATATTATGGAACGGAGGGATTATGATCCAGTGAAGACTATGCACACACAGGCACGAGCTTGGATGCAACACGAACTCAGACTCCAATGCCAATAGTTCAATGATGACACACAAATCCACCCAGTTAACTCAAGTTGAGCAGCCCAAAAGCCTGACGACGATCAGGAATATGCACACCAAATTTACACTACCACCCTAGCTAGCTAACAGGCTCAGACTCGGGGTTCGCTACGACGAGTAGGCCGACGGCTTTGGGTCTCGGCCAGGCTCCTTCAGAAGGTCTCCCGAGCTTTTACGGCGACCTTTGCCGCTGTTGCTTGCGCCGGGCGCCGTCTTGCTTCCACTCTTGGGGTCTTGAGGCCTCTCTGCCGCCGGTCTTCTGGTTGGATCTGCCGGTCTTCTGGCTGGGTCTGCCGGTCTTCTGGCTGGGTCGCTGGAGTCTTGTATCCCTTCCAGAATAGAGACCACGGCGTCCATGGACGGCCTCATCTTAGCTTCGAAGGACAGGCACTCGACAGCCAGTGCAGCTATTGTCTGGGCTCCGTTCAGGGAGTATTGGCCTTCTAGCCTGGTATCAAGGACACGGAATATCTTGCGCTTGTGTGTGAGATATGGCCGGGCCCATTCGACAAGGTTGTGCTCGCCCTGGGGACGGTTCTTGTCAATGGCACGGCGGCCTGACAGCATCTCCAGAAGCACTACCCCAAAGCTATAGATGTCGCTCTTGGCAGTAAGATGGCCTGAAAATGTTGATTTGTTAAATGGATGTTCATCGTATGCTGAATATGAGCTCGCGGGTAAATGTTATGAAAAAGTAGAGCACGCTCTATGCCTAGAAGGCAGAATTTTAATATTCCCACAACAAAGTAAATTAAGAGGAAAATGTTAGATGATTTGAAAATAGTGACTACTGACTAGTTAAATGAATATTTTCCACATACTGAATATGAACTCTAGGTAAATTTTACCAGAAGGCAGCATAGCACCATTTGCACAGCAAAATAAATTAAGAGTAATTACATAACAATCAGTATCATTTCATGGAACAACTTATCGTTGAAGACAATTAAAATCACCATCAAACATTTCCCTACATAGTTTGTATTCACACCTTTGTGCATAATTCACAAAAGAAAAGGTACACCGTATATACATAAATCATGCATTTCAAGTATTGGCATTTGGGTGTTAGATATTCAATCAGAGTCTGACATGGGATGCATTTATACTGCTTTATCTAGCAAATTGAGCAAAGTAAAAGTCGTTCCAAAAATGGGATCTGCGCAGCAACAGATGATGCGCATATAGAGGAAACAGCTTACACATTTTTAATGAATTACAGCTTACACTAACTTCTATGAACTAATGCACTAAGAGCTCTGCGCTAACATTCAATGCTTCCAGTCACATGACAATGTTTTATATCCAAGACAAGCAAATGTGCAGAATACTGGCTCGGTAAAACACAAAATTGCAAGTCAAAGGTTACCTGTTGACAGATATTCTGGAGCTGCATAACCATGTGTTCCCATTACCCTTGTGGACACATGACTCTTCTCACCAACAGGGCCATCCTTTGCCAATCCAAAATCAGAGAGTTTTGCGGTATAGTCCTGGGAAGTAAAATATGCATTTGTTTCAGTAGATATCAGATGATCATAGAGGTTAGCTATGGTATTGATGATTCACTTTCACTTACTGTGTCAAGGAGAATATTGGATGTCTTGAAATCTCTATAAATAACTTTAGCCTCTGCACTGTGAAGGTAGGCTAGTCCTTTAGCAGCTCCAAGTGCAACCTTCATTCTTAGGTTCCATGAAAGAGGCTGAAAGTGCGAGCCCCCTACATCAAGGATTCATATGTAGCAAGTTATAACAAGAACATGCTACAGTCTGAATCGATATCGTATGCAAAATGAATAAGACAGCAGTAGAGCACCAAGTCATAATTTAACTTACTCCTGAAAAGATGATTTTCCAAGCTCCCACGTGGCATGCACTCGTACACTAGGAGCCGGTGTTCATCCTCCAGGCAGTACCCAATTAGCTTGACAAGGTTGGTATGGCAAAACTGACCTAGGTAATTAACTTCAGCCTATAAATGGACACATAATAAAGTCAGAAAAATATCCAGGTGTTTGGTTAACACTTTTGAAAAATATCCTCTAATGAATTCAGGTGCATCACATAAAGGACACAGGTGCGAACCATTGGACTTTTGAAGCTGTAACTAAGGAATTCAGATACATCACATAAATATGCCGATATTCGAAAGTAAACTTCAAAGAAAAATGACATCCAAGAACAACAGCAAGAAATGGAGTGGCAGTCATGCTCACCAACCACTCTCGGTGCCCTTGCAAACCCTCCAGGTTGAGTCTTTTCACAGCAACAGGTATTCCAGTACCAGGTTTGCAAGCTGACAATGTATGCTCATCAATCCATCCTTTGTAGACAGATCCAAACCCTCCTTCGCCGAGCACACTGTCAGGACGGAAGTTCCTTGTGGCTAACCTGAGATCATTATAAGTGAAGACCTTAACATTGGCTGACTGCAAGATCTCACATTCAGTCTTTGCACTTGGAGGCATGGAAGCCGAAGAAGCTCGACTGCTGCAGGCACTAAGCCTACTCCCATCTTTACCACTACTCCTTGAGAACATTCCTGCAAATAATGTCTTTAGTGCAGATTCTACTGACTGAAACATACATAAAATACAAAATCAAGTCATCTATTTGAAATGGAAGTATTATCTCATGAATTAGTTTTTGCACTAGTCTATCCCAGGTCCACAGAATGAACATCATGTATCGCAAGTTCCGAACACTTGACATTTTTTAAGGAAATTTTGCACAGTAATTAGGAACTGGTTGTAAGAAGGAATCATCACTTGGCTTTATCTGAAACTTGATATGAGGATCAGGAGTTGCAAGACTAGCCATTGCAGTCTGTGGTAGATGATGCTAGTGATAATGGATTGACTGGTGTCCCAGAAGTTGGTGCCAAGAGCATTTTGATAGGGGTTGGCAAGCAACAGGGCACAGATGATATTTAAATGTGAATGGTAATATGCTTCTGATCCAAAAGATTAAATGATTATTTGCGTCGAGCACTGTCGCGTAATGGATATGGTGAAAATCAGAGAGGTTCCCCTCCATGAAGTGGTCAGATACATAAATTAACAGTAGACCTTGTCCCGCCAAATGTACGTCCGTTGCCCACTTGCCATGTCACATAGCATATCCAGAGGCTTAGCATATTTATATACTGGGTATAGAAATGGCACCTAATAATGGCAGTTAAACGCCGATTTTTTGGTAGACACAGTTGAATAATGGAATTGGATAGTACACGTCAAGCACAAACAAAAAAGTTCAGCCCGTTACTGGGAAAGAAAATAATAGCGTTATATTATATCCAATTGTTTGTAGACATGGAACATACACAATTAATGACTGGTGAATATGTGCGGGAAACAGACAGACCGGTGTGAATACAAAAATCAAGGTGTGTGCTCTATACTGGACTTATGTATGATATCTGAACAGGTGGTTTAACAAATTTTAGTATCAACTTAAACAAGGAACAACTTGAGCACTTCTCCTGTTCCTATCAATAATTAATTTAGAGGAATAGCAATATAGAAACAATTAGTCAACCCTAACGATTCTCTTTTCCTTGACAAGCCGCCCCTAAGTTCATGTGACACACTTTTTAAGGAAAAACAAATAACAAAGACAACTGATAGTCATTCATATACATGCCAGAATGCCACTACAAGGGCACACTAGACGTACTGCACTGTAGTATTAGTCTTGCTTCAACCAAATGTTTCTTGGTCAACAACAGGTGGTCAGCTCAGAGTAGCAATAGATATGATGCTAAGATATCCACGCCAATCAAATGTTTCTTGGTCAACAACAGAGGGTGATTTGAATTATTCAAGCTAAGCGTCAGTGCAGAGTATCAACAGATACGATGCTAAAATGATCCACCACAATCAAATGTTTCTTGCTCAGCATCAGCAACTGAATCAAGGGTGTTTTGAATTCATCGTGCTAAATGGTTAGCGCAGAGTACCAACACATACGATGCTAAAACATCCACACCACACCCCAACACATAACACACACCACACTGAGAGCCAGGTACATGTCCTGTCCCATACCATACCATTGGCGTCTGATAACGATAAGCACTATCCAATTCATGATGGAAGAGCATGTACTACAGTACTACACATGGTACTAGCCTAGTGAAACAATAATGTAAGGACCGAAGCATCAATGTCCAGTGACTGTGCAATAGAAGGTACACACCACCTAATAAAGCCTATACCACCAATGGCACAGATCCTAAGAAGCCTCACAAGGCAGCCAAGGCTTACTTTGGGGAGACCACTCTAAAAGCAACTGCGATATCTCGCTTTAGTGTGCCGATTGAACGCTTTGAGGCTACTAGGCCACTAGCTATGCAACCAAATCAAGCTACTGGATCGCCTCAAAATAGGCCACCAACCGAATCACGCGTACAAACAAGTTAAGCCTTTCGCGAACATCATAGGGCTAATTGCGCACAATAAGCATCCGCTGATATCTCCGATTTCCACCGGAATCCTACGAAATGATCATGTAAATCGATAGGGAACCGGGAATGGGTTGCTTTTCGCATCTAGGAACCACCAGACCTTGGAGCCCTGCAACTCGCAAGCAGGAATCGGCCGAAACCTCATCCATCCATCCATGGATCACCAAAAATCCGCAAAGCCAGGGGAGGAGAAGAGGGCGAACCTGAGACGCCGGGGTGGGTGCTCCCATCCTTGATCCGCGTGCCCCAGCAGTTCCCCATCGGCCGCGTCGGCCCGGCGCACCAACCAACCAAGCAACTGCAACAACCTTACCGGACCAAACGGAGCAAGCGGGCGAGGGTCGCGGAGGGGATGAAGCGGCGGCGGCGAGCGGTCCGCCTCATGCGGGGGTAGGAATTCGGGCGAGCGGGCGGGCTAGGGTTCCTCCGAGCGGCGGCGGGGAGGAGGAGGGGGATAAATAGCGGCCGCGGCGAGCGGTGGCGTGGCGGGGCGCGTGAGGAGAGAGAGGGAGAGTGGGCGAAAGCGAGAGGAGTTAATGGCGGGGAGCGGAGGGGCGCGAGGGAAGCGTGCGCTTTCCTGCGTCCGCTTCTGCTCGCTCGGGCTGCGGCGGGTGGACGGTAGCGACTAGCGCGAGCGGTAGGCAGCACAGCAGCAGCAGCAGCGCAGCCGCGCCGCTGGCTCGGCCGACTCTCGGGGAAAAGCGGGGAGGCGCCGCGTGACGCTGGGGGGTGGGGGCCGCGGCTTTCCTTACCGTTTCTCCCCTTTTTACCGCCGGAGGGGGAGGGGGAGGGGGTGAAATGAATGAATGGCCGAGAGCGACCCATGGGATGACGACCGACCACCATATTATCCGTGTGCGTTTTTTTTTTCTTAGCACATCCGTGCGCGTTGTTGCCACCTAATAACGTTGAAAAAAACTGCATATGGGCATTGACAGAAGTTTTGCTCTTCTTTTTTATGGGTCTCTCTTGTGTGAATGGATGGGTGCTCGTGCGGTTTCGACAGAGCCGCGACAAACACGGGCGCGTTCCTCCCGTCACGCGGGCTTCGACATGGTCGCGACGGGCACCGATGCGTTTCTCCTGCTGTGTCGGCGCGGTTCCGACAGAGCCGCGGCAAACGTCGGTACGGATCTCGATGTGTCTGTTTCGACGGAGTCGCGACAATCATTGGCGCGTTTTCCTCGCCGCCTCCCTCCGATCCAGTTCTCGTGCATTGATTCTCTCCTGCACAGATCCTAACGTTCGAGAGGAAGTACCGACGTGTCGGAGCGGTTCCGGCAAGGTCGCGACAAACATCGTTCCGACAAAGTTGTGGCAAACGCGATGCTTTCTCTCACTACTCGGTGCGGTTTCGACAGAGTCGCGACAAACATCGATACTTTCTCTCGATATGCTAGTGCGGTTCCGACAAAGTCGCGACAAGTTTCCCTCGCTGCACCCACGTGATTTTGTTCTCGCGCATTGGCTTGTCTCCAATTCAACCCCTAGCCTTTAAAAGAGGCATCATCTTCATTTCTCGATCTACCTTCCCATCCTTATGCCGCACACCGTTGCGAAGTTGCTCAACTTTGTTGACCTCTCAGTTGACTTTCATGATGTCATGTCTACATCAATTCAAGGTGACTAGGACAATGTGTGTCCAACAACATGAAGCAAAACATAAGTATCTTCCTCATTTTTTCCCTTCTCGTTCCTCTTTTGCTCCACAAACATGTATGCCTCTAGTGCCCAACCTCTCCACCTCTCTCTTAGTCACCTCCAAACTACATGTGCCCCCTTTCCATATTTTCCTCGTCGAAACTTCATGATCCTTTGACAAGGCTTCCATCGCCTTCGGTGCAACAACTTAAAAAACGACAGGACATGAAATTTTGCCCCTTGCATACAACAATGGTGATGTTTGTGGGACAGGGACGACAACCTTCACCCATTCCACTTCGTGTACGACTGCCCCTTCCATTGGCTTCACCTCCGCACGAAAAGAAACGCATATCCTAATGAGGATAGTCAAAATGATGCCTTTTTATGTTTCGGCTTTGAGCTTCATTAGAGATGGTATTACTCTTACTACCCAGATATCCTATTAGAAGGTGAACTTCATGTCAAGCTTAATGATAACTTTATTACCCTTATTCCAAAAAGAGACAACTCTTTTTAATTCCTCGTGATGTTAGACCTAGTTCTGCATCATGGTTTACATGTTGGGGAACGTAGCAGAATTTTAAAATTTTCTACGCATCACTAAGATCAATCTATGGAGTCATCTAGCAAAGAGGGAAAGAGGAGTGCATCTACATACCCTTGTAGATCACGAGCGGAAGCGTTCAAGAGAACGGGGTTGACGGAGTCGTACTCGACGTGATTCAAATCACCGATGACCTAGTGCCGAACGGACGGCACCTCCACGTTCAACACACGTACGGTTGGGAGACGTCTCCTCCTTCTTGATCCAGCAAGGGGGAAGGAGAGGTTGATGAAGATCCAGCAGCACGACGGCGTGGTGGTGGAAGCAACGGTGATCTCGGCAGGGCTTCGCCAAGCGCTGAGAGACAGAGGAGTGTCACGGGAGGGAGAGAGAGAGGGAGAGGCCAGGGGCTCGGGTGCGCAGCCCTCCCTCCCTCCCACTATATATAGGGTGCCTAGGGGGGCGCCAGCCCTAGGAGATCCAATCTCCTAGGGGGGCGGCGGCCAACGGGGTGCCTTGCCCCCCAAGGCAAGGGTGGCGCCCCCACCCCTAGGGTTTCCAACCCTAGGCGCAGGGGGAGGCCCAAGGGGGGGCGCACCAGCCCACTAGGGGCTGGTTCCCCTCCCACTTCAGCCCATGGGGACCTCCGGGATAGGTGGCCCCACCCGGTGGACCCCCGGGACCCTTCCAGTGGTCCCGGTACAATACCGGTGACCCCGAAACCTTCCCGATGGCCGAAAGTAGACTTCCTATATATAAATCTTGTTGGAAATATGCCCTAGAGGCAATTATTATATTTCCTTGTTCATGATAATTGTCTTTTATTCATGCTATAACTGTATTATCCGGAAATCGTAATGCACGTGTGAATACATAGACCACAATATGTCCCTAGTGAGCCTCTAGTTGACTAGCTCGTTGTGATCAACAGATAGTCATGGTTTCCTGGCTATGGACATTGGATGTCGTTGATAACGGGATCACATCATTAGGAGAATGATGTGATGGACAAGACCCAATCCTAAGACTAGCACAAAAGATCGTGTAGTTCATTTGCTAGAGCTTTGCCAATGTCAAGTATCTCTTCCTTCGACCATGAGAGCGTGTAACTCCTGGATACCGTAGGAGTGCTTTGGGTGTATCAAACGTCACAACGTAACTGGGTGACTATAAAGGTGCACTACAGGTATCTCCGAAAGTATCTATTGTTTTATGCGGATCGGGACTGGGATTTGTCACTCCGTGTAAACGGAGAGGTATCTCTGGGCCCACTCGGTAGGACATCATCATATGCGCAATGTGACCAAGGAGTTGATCACGGGATGATGTGTTACGGAATGAGTAAAGTGACTTGCCGGTAACGAGATTGAACAAGGTATTGGATACCGACGATCGAATCTCGGGCAAGTAACATACCGATAGACAAAGGGAATTGAATACGGGATTGATTAAGTCCTTGACATCGTGGTTCATCCGATGAGATCATCATGGAACATGTGGGAGCCATCATGGGTATCCAGATCCCGCTGTTGGTTATTGACCGGAGAACGTCTCGGTCATGTCTACATGTCTCCCGAACCCGTAGGGTCTACACACTTAAGGTTCGATGACGCTAGGGTTATAAAGGAAGTTTGTATGTGGTTACCGAATGTTGTTCGGAGTCCCGGATGAGATCCCGGACATCACGAGGAGTTCCGGAATGGTCCGGAGGTAAAGATTTATATATGGGAAGTCCTATTTTGGCCACCGGAAAATGTTCGGGATTTTTCGGTATTGTACCGGGAAGGTTCTAGAAGGTTCCGGAGTGGGGCCCACCTGCATGGGGGGACCCACATGGACGTGGGTAGTGGGGGCAAGGCCCCACACCCCTGGTCAAGGCGCACCAAGATCCCCCCTTAGAAGGAATAAGATCATATCCCGAAGGGATAAGATCAAGATCCCTAAAAAGGGGGGATAACAATCGGTGGGGAAGGAAATAATGAGATTTCTTTCCTCCCACCTTGGCCAACGCCCCAACGGACTTGGAGGGCAAGAAACCAGCCCCTCCACCCCTATATATAGTGGGGAGGCGCATGGGAGCTATAGACGAAGTTCTGGCACAGCCCTACCTCTCTTCCTACTCCTCCTCTCCCATGGTGCTTGGCGAAGCCCTGCTGGATTGCCACGCTCCTCCACCACCACCACGCCGTTGTGCTGCTGTTGGATGGAGTCTTCCTCAACCTCTCCCTCTCTCCTTGCTGGATCAAGGCGTGGGAGACGTCACCGGGCTGTACGTGTGTTGAACGCGGAGGTGCCGTCCGTTCGGCACTAGGATCATCGGTGATTTGAATCATGACGAGTACGACTCCATCAACCCCGTTCACTTGAACGCTTCCGCTTAGCGATCTACAAGGGTATGTAGATGCACTCTCTTTCTACTCGTTGCTGGTCTCTCCATAGATAGATCTTGGTGACACGTAGGAAAATTTTGAATTTCTGCTACGTTCCCCAACAGTGGCATCATGAGCTAGGTCTATTGCGTAGATTCTTTGCACGAGTAGAACACAAAGTAGTTGTGGGCGTTGATGTTGTTCAATATGCTTACCGTTACTAGTCCAATCTTGTTTCGACGGTATTGTGGGATGGAGCGGCCCGGACCGACCTTACACGTACTCTTACGTGAGACAGGTTCCACCGATTGACATGCACTTGGTGCATAAGGTGGCTAGCGGGTGCCAGTCTCTCCCACTTTAGTCGGAACGGATTCGATGAAAAGGGTCCTTATGAAGGGTAAATAGCAATTGGCATATCACGTTGTGGTCTTGCGTAGGTAAGAAACGTTCTTGCTAGAAACCCATAGCAGCCACGTAAAACATGCAACAACAATTAGAGGACGTCTAACTTGCTTTTGCAGGGTATGCTATGTGATGTCATATGGCCAAAAAGAATGTGATGAATGATATGTGATGTATGAGATTGATCATGTTCTTGTAATAGGATTCACGACTTGCATGTCGATGAGTATGACAACCGGCAGGAGCCATAGGAGTTGTCTTTATTTATTGTATGACCTGCGTGTCATTGAAGAACGCCA